CTAACTAAATCAACTCATAGTAAAATTCCTTTCGATATTATGTAAACGGCTGTTTAATGGAGGCATTTTTGACAGAGGTGACAACTTTGACATTTTGCCTCCACCGTTTGATTCCTTCATCCTTTTTCTACAAAAATAGTATTTATTTATTTATATATTTTAATCAATTTCTTGTGCTGTTCGCATTAAAAAAATACATCCCAACCGTTCCTAAAGTATAAGAAAAACTCTATTTATTCAATAACATCATGGTATTTGCAGTCATTATCATAATTGACATCAAATTATTTTGACAGTATTCAATACTTTGGTAGCTCCGTAATATTTTTTATATAAAATACTAACATTATTTTGGCTCACTCTATCATTTACGACAGGACCTTTCTGGAAACCCTGTATATATTCTCAAAATAATTCATACTATAGTAATTATTCAACAGTGACGGAATGATTAAATTATTTTCGTTCAAATTATTATTTTACTGACACGTTAATTGAAGAAAACCATAATTTTACGTTCAGTAAAGGTCAAGCACCATCATCACCATCATAAGTTTTTTCATTATACCGCAAAAATATCATTATATTTTTAAAAATGTAAGTCGAAGTGTATCATTATGTCGAGAAGAAACTGGTTATCTATATACGAAGTGTACTTATAAGTTTGCTTATATTGAGAATTTTGAGTTATTATCTCGATTGAAATGAAAACTGTCGATTAGAAATTCTGTGACCAAGGAATGAAATTTAGGAATCAAAATAAAATTTGGGATTAGACCCTTTTCAAGCTTCACAAGAATACCTTTCTCGTTAATTTGAAATATTTGGAGAAATCTGATATTTTGAAAACATTCGTTAGACTGTATCATATCAATGGGTTGAATACATTACATCAACTGGTTTTTTTTTCAAATCCATCTGATGAAAATTCAATACCTTGAGGAATCTACAAATGATATTAGCGAACTTACGTGAATTTCACACTTTTATTATTGTTAGAACAAATAACATATCATTAGCAATACGTTAATAACTAGTCAGGTTTTTTTCATGTATAGTTCTGCGAGATATTCTCGAAGAAGTGTATCATTACGAAATTGTGAAAACAAATCTCTTGAAATCTAATAAAATACAGGTGAGTTTCTTTTTAGGAATGTGATAGTTTGTGAGAAATATTAGGTTGCAACAACCATTTCTTCTTGTTGAATCCCTTCTAATTATTGTTATTGCAGTAAATACAAATTAATTATTTTAATTGCCGTCTATAAACTTTTAATTGTTTGTTAATAGAGCGCTAAATTTAATGAACGAAATAACACCGTTTCTATAATAGGATTGTATGATACATGCTATAACAAACACGAAACCGAAATGAACACAGGAGTTTAATCCTCGGTTTAATCAAGAGGTAGATCTGTCGATTGCAATCTGTAAAATATTGAGTATATCAAAACTCAAGGAATCTACTTATCATTAGATACGTATATAGTCAATAGAATAAATAAAACGCCTCCCAACCACTTAGCGAATCATCATATATTACTGCACATAATAAATATAAATTACAAATATCTAACCCAAGTGTACCAAGACTATATTGTTTACCAAAAATACACAAACCCGGTAAGAAAATGAGGCCAATTGTATCCGCAATTGGGTCTCCTACTTACAATATTTCAAAGTGGTTGGTTGAAGTTTTCAAAACTTTGAATAATCCTTATAACAATCATTCTGTTTCAAATTCGCTTGAATTTATCGAAAAGGTCAAAGGGTTGAATCTGACCGAAAGTGAAATCCTTATATCATTTGATGTTTCATCACTTTTCCCAAGCGTACCCATACCAAAAACTTTGGAATATTTAAAGGAATTACTCGAATATAACAATCTAGATCCAGATAATATTAAAGAATTGGTTGATCTCACTAATCTCTGCATGAGCCAAAATATTTTTCAATATAAACAAGAATTTTTTGAACAACATGAAGGTACAGCTATGGGAAATTGTTTATCGCCTTTCCTGGCTGAACTGTTCATGAATCGATTTGAAGCAAATGCAAAAGAAAAATTCGAGTATTTCCCTAGGGTTTGGATTAGATATGTCGATGATATTTTTGCTATTTTTGATACAAAAACCACAGATATAGAAAACTTTATTTCAAAATTGAATAACTGCTTCCCCTCTATCAAATTCACTTATGAATGCGAAAATCAAGGCAAATTACCTTTCTTAGATGTACTGGTGATCAAAAATAGCGAAAACAACTTAGAATTTGATGTCTTTAGAAAAGAAACTAACACATTTAGATACATACCTAATGACTCCAATCACTGTTTTCAGCACAAAATGGCAAGTTTAAATTTTCTAGTACACAGATTGATTTCATTTCCTCTCAGCAAAGAAAGATTCAATGCTGAAAGAAATGTTGTTTATAAAGTGGCTGGCGTCAATGGGTATGATATCAAAATAGTAGATAAATTAATACGTAGACATAAATTTAAGTTAACACTTCGATATTCTACGACTTTTCAAGCGGATAAAAATAGCTCAAGAAGAATCCCAATCCCGTACAATCCCAAGTATACGAAGGGACTTGATAAAGTTTTCAAAGACTTAGGTTTTGAAAGCGTTTATCAGTCTGGGTCAAAATTAGGCAATTTATTAGGCAATCCGAAAGATAAAGTGGACACACTTGAAAAGTCGGGAATATACGAAATAAGTTGTAATGATTGTGATAAAACATATATAGGCCAAACCAGGCGACCCATAAAAACAAGGTTCAAAGAACACATAACCCATTTAAAATATGGCAGGTTAGATAAATCTTGTGTAGCCGAACATATGTTCAATCACAATCATAACACACATATTACTAACCTCAAATTAGTTAAGCAAGTTAATAACATTAGAAAACTAGACGCATATGAAAGCTTAGAGATATTTAAGAATAGTAATAGAGTAATGAATAAGGATAATGGACCTATTCCATATAGCCCTCTATATAGTTTAGTAAAATAAAAATTAAGATTAACATGTGAACTCAACCATGACAAACATTAACTTGACGGTTAGTATTTTTCACAGTTGGGTGAACATATACCTAGTATATAAGCAACACACTAGAATAGGATATTTAGTTTTAATCTTCTCCTGAAGATGCTAACATAGTTAGCGAAACACGTGTCGAGGCGTTAAAAAATCGGTTTGGTTAGTGGTAAAACAGTGTAGTGTATATATTTCAGTTGATAAAAAAACTAATAAAGGAACTTATTAAAAATTGACTAAGTTGATGACAATATTAACTAATGACATCTTGAGTTGACAAATTGAAATTCAATATAATTTTTATTCAGAGAGATGCATGAACAGCTTATTGTATCTCGCCTTTTATTCGGGTAAGAAGTTAAATGTATAAACTCCGGAAGCTTCTTTGGAAACAAATCCATCGATCTTGGTGTATCACCCTGTACATTCATTCTCTCTTTTTTTTGTGGAATCTCGAGAAACATTTTTGTCATTAAATCATGAACAATATATATACAAGTTGATCATGTGTTGTTCTCGGTCTTCCTGTAATAATATCTATTCATTATTTTTGCAAAACAAAATGTATATAAGAAACATTAGATTTTATCGAGGATTTTATGAATTTCTGAAAGTAGCGCTGCAATATAAAATAATTCTTGTTAGATATGCGAAAAAACGTGTTTTTGAATGCTTGAAGAGATGATAGGAACATTGCAAAACCATTTCGAGTAATATAATATGCTTCAGCATTATAAAAATAAGATTGATAAAAATCACAAAGATTCTCCATCTAATTGGTAATATGGAGAAATTTTCAACATTTCAGAAAGGTTTGTTTTCCATCCTGAACAGCCCTGTGTACCATGTATTTTCATAGGCAGCCTAGTAGTCATTCACCTAATGGCTTCCGTGCTGAACTGGGGGTTTGAGTTTTCGTTTTGTGACAAAATATGACATCTAGTGGATGGTGTTTATTTTGGTGATTTCTTTAAAATAAATGGTGAAATCTGGTGAATGGGGAGGCATCCAAAATTCCCCCTGTTCTGCAAAACCAAGTAACTGAGAAAAATTCGAAAATGGGATTCTGGCAGCAATCGGTCTTGATATGCAAAACGTCACAACTGGTAAAAAATTGTAAATATTTTAAAATCCATAAATACAAAACAAAATAAAAGGGGTCGTCAAAAACAAGTATCTAACAGTTGGCAACGTGATTCACGCCTCTGACATTTTGTGTTCAATTTCTTTTCATAGAGATCAATCTCTGCTAATTGGTGAGTGACTTTTCATGGAACTGATATGTAAAACAGTTAATTCGCAACTTCAATTGGTATCTCAACACAGGATGTGAGAATTTATCTCAAGTATTTGTTAAGCGGAAGGTCCAGAAAAATGAAGTTACGTGTTTTTGTGAATTACTTTTCCGAATATTTGTTGTTGCGTGCTTTCGCACAGAAGCAGATGTCAAAGCCTATAGTATCTTACGCTGACAAACGTAAACAATGACTTTTCTCAATGATCAATGTACAAACGTAAGGATAATAATAATCAGGTGGTTTGTTACTATTTTTTACTGAATCTGATCAGTTAACCCGAAATTATGTTTTTAGTGTCTCCTGAAAATTTTGGTTTTTGCAGTTACTTGGTTTTGTGGTTTCGTCGACGATATACAAGTTATGAAGCATTTGTTTAGTTTCCTGTTGGAAAAAAACTTTTTTCACATTCATTTATATATCATTAAGCCAAGATCCGTTTTGACCAGCTAGACTTCCATTATCTGGTGTGATCTAGTGATCTAAACTGAAGTTGAAACCACCAGAAAATCACTTGATTCGCAGAAATTTTCGAATGCGGCGCATTTCTTTTCGGTTCCGTCATGTTTGGTGTTTTTTTTGGTGTTTTTCAGCAGGTTGCCATTTTGCGACTTTTGAAAATCTGATTAGGCAACACTGACTAACGACCTTCTAATTGCAGGTCCGACTCGTGCATCAACAACGTCAAACTAACCCTCAACTGCGCCAAGGACCACCGCAGCCCCTCCGCCCACCCCAGCCACCGATACTCCCCGGGGGCGGCCAGCTTAGAGGACGTGTCCACCCACCCGGCGGCGGCGGACTCGGAGCGGGGCAGCCTGAGGCGCAGCAGGAGCTTGGCGTCATCGGGGGAGGCGTGGGCGGCTTGCTGGAGGTACGAGGAGCGGCGGAGGGCGGGAGAAGGGAGGAGGTCGCAGCTGATACCGCGGGCGAGGCTGATCGACAGGGCTTCGGCGAGAGATAACAGGTAATATACACAGAACAAAAAATTAACCTGATATCAATCACTTCTAATGTTTGACTACATGTCCATTACTATGAAGATTTTTTCATCAGTACAATGCCAAAAACCGATTGAAAATATTGAATTTCAGTGACTGGTCAATCAATCATTTAGTTGGTACAGTGCAGACTCGATAATCCGAACGTTCAATAATCCGAATTCTTCAGTAGTCCGAACAAGCATTTTTAATACATTGAGTACTCTATAATCCGAATTTCATAGTACTCGATAATCCGAACCTATACCTTTAGGCCTATTTATTTCCTATAGAAATTGTGAGTGAAATGTTCAGGGATTCCCCTAATTAATTGTTCTTTTGTTAGTATCTGGGATTCACATTACGCAAGGAAGAAAATAATAGTCCGTTAAATGATATTCTTGTACTTCAAAGATTAAAAGAAATGGCCTTTATAAATAATCAAAGATGTGCTAAGCAAACAAAAATTACAAATTACTTTAGAAACTAGTATTATATTCTTACTTTTATGCATATTTTAGTGTTACTTTTTCGTATTTTTTTTTTGCATTTCGTAATAAAAATTAAAAAAAAAAAACTGCTTCGGTAATCCGAATTTTTTGGTAATCCGAATCGCCTTGGTTTTTATTAGTTCGGATTATCGAGTCTGCACTGTATAACGAAGTCTAGACCATTATCATAATGTTGCTATATCATTGAAGTAATGAGAAAAGTCATCTATATTATGAAATATACATCAGAACAATGTAAGAAATATATCAAATGAATGATTACCTAGTGATCAATATTATGTACCCTTGATCATCATGACGCATTGTGATGCATATTTTAATTGAGGTATGCTCAACAAGCATAACATCAACGACTCATTCATATTTGGTTGATCCATTGAAGTTTCATTCTCAATGCTTGAAAACATTGACCAATAGATGAAAATATATAGTTCATTATAATCAATCATAATTGCGTCCATCACCTAATGTATTCAGTTTATTGTGTTAATGCCTTAGACCTTAGAGCATTGAGACAATGCTACAGTATCATTGGTTGATGAAACTTCATTATAACAATACACTGCGTTCATAACCTGATGTATTTGGTATATATCAGATGTGATATTTCATCGGCTTCAAAGAGAGCTATAACAGTCTGAAAAGGTCAGCAGAACAAAACTTACACAGGGTGTAAAGTGGAACCATTACACTATGGTCTACACTTCCAATGCTGCCAGAACTCGAGAAAATTTTTTCTGATCAAAAGTCAGTCATATTATGATACACTGGGACCTCATCTCGGGACGATTTCATGATTTCCCCTTAATTGGCCATTGGAACAAAAATTCGATTTTTTTTTAATTTTTTCTCTAGAACTCCACTCGAGCTGAATATTGGGAAGAACTGTTCTTATGTTTTGTGGAGGACAATGAAAGACGAAAGGAGCACCATTATAGAATATACAGGATGATAAGAAAATACGACAAAATCTCGTTTCAGTGAAAAAAATCGAAAACGGTGACGAAAACCATGACCCATTCGATTCAGTATATTCAGAAATAGCCTTCTCAATATCCATTATGTATATTAGACTATTAACTCAAGACGTTTTCGAAAATTCACCTCTCATTGAAATACAGGTTGAAAATTCTCAATTCAAACTTATTTCCTGATATCGTTGATTTTTATCAACGGCTTTCCAATATTTATTGCCCAAGTATGAGACACAGAGTATATTTGTTCAATATACTGAGTGTTTCACAACTTATCTGACAATTTTCAACCACAACTACGATATTACATAAGAAGTGTATCACATAAAAATTTTATAGGAGTAAAACGAGATGGAAGATAAAATTTATAATTCTTTATATCCATTAAAAACATTCGAAATGGGCTCTATTGGCGAAATATGACATAAGTGAATTCTTCAGCATTATGAAGATCCAACTAGAAAGTCCTATATCCTGAATTTCAGTACTTGGTAAGGCCTCCCCGATTTAACAAAACCTCATGAAACCGGTTTGACATAGATTCTATGAGGTTGTTGATGAAGCCTATTGACATTGCCTCCCATCTCCCATTCTTCTGATACAGCTTGGATAAGGTTGTCATTATTTTGGGGTGCCTCTCGCCTTCTCGATAGGTTGAGTTTCATTCGGCTCCACACATGTTCAATCAAATTCAGATCTGGATATAATGCTGGTCACCACATTCTTTTAACATTATTGTTTTCTAGAGGTCTCATAGGTGTCTCATATTTGGGCAATATATATTGGAAATCAGTTGATAAGAATCAGCGATATCAGAAAACAAGTTTGAATTGAAATTTTCATCCTGTATTTTAATTAGAGGCGAATTTTCAAAAACGTCTCGAGTTAATAGTCCAATATAAATAATGGGTATCGAGAAGGCCGTTTCTGAATATACTGAATCGAATGGGCCATGGTTTTAGTCACCATTTTTGATTTTTTTTACAGAAATGATATTTTGTCCTTTTTTTATTATCATCCTGTATATCTCACAATAGTGCTTTTTTCGTCTTTCATTGTCCTCCACAAAACATGAGAACAGTTCTTCCCAATAGCAGTCAAGTGGAGTTCTAGAGAAAAAATTCAAGAAATGCAAGACTTTCGAAAAAAAATCTAATTTTTGTTCCAAAGGCCAATTGAGGAGAAATTACGAAAACATCCCGAGATGAGGTCCCAGTATAACATAATATGACTGACTTTTGATCAGAAAAAAATTTCTCGAGTTCTGTCAGCATTGGAAATGTAGACCATAGTGTAATGGTTCCACTTTACACCCTGTGTAAGTTTTGTTCTGCGGACTTCTTCAGAGTGTTCTAGCTCTCTTCGAAGCCGATGAAAGATCACATCTGATATTGAGAACCGCATGAAGATCGCTCAATTTTTTCAAAAACTACAGGTCTTCAAAATAGTCAAATTATGAGTGGTCCATTTTGTGTGTTGAATACTGTATTTCGAGCAATTCCTGAAAATTTAAAATAAAAAGAAATTGCGAACCTACGCTGATATCACGTGCTTGGGAGATAAATATTTTCCCTGGGCATGTCACGCGATATATATATTTTCTTTTGAAAAGAGAGAGGGTAAGGGTAAGGAAGGGCGACAAGATGTAATCTAAGGTAATTTCGGTGTATATTTAAAGCAGTCACGAAACTCAATAAAAAATAACCCGAGTCGAAATTATTATGCAACGATAAATCCATCGTAAACCAAGGAAAAAACTCAGTCTTGCCATATATAAGGGTATAACTGTTTTACATTTTTATATACGTGAACAACAGTATACGCCTATGTATATCATTCTGCATGGTGCAACGTATTGGTGACATATTTTAGGCGCAAACGTTTTTCCTGTGACTCGAACATGTTTTTTGTTCGCAGGTTGAAAGGATCCAGCGTTGATAACCTCCACTACCAAGAACGTCCTCAAACAAGAAGACATTCAACCTTGGTACCACCCGAACCCTACTACATCGACAATCATCGTTCGACTTGCAGAATAGAAAAGGAATCTTTGTATACATCCCTGCAAAGTTTTCCAGATACAAGCAAACGAACCGATAGCCTAGACTCGAACTGCAACAACAAAACGTCAGTGAACAGCTTCTTCGATGTGTCCTACGAAGATATTCCAGAGCTAAGTTTGCCCAATTACTACCCCGAGGCCAGATACGATACTGATAACACTGATAACATCTCATTAACCGATAACATTTCATCGAACTCTTTGGATAACAAATACCCCCTAGACGTCAAGTGGGAGAAGAACGAACAGTACGAAAGTATTTCCTATGACGAAAATATCGTCCTGAGTACCAACAAAAACCTCTACGAAAGTAGTGGACACAAGCCTAGAACAATAAGAAACCCGACACCCTATCGGGAAAAGTACGGACAAATCAATCCGAACTCCGAGCCAACAGAACAACCAGAAGAAACCAACAAACATTCAGAAGAAATTGATTTGAAAGTCGAAAATACTGAAGAAGAAGATCTAACCTCTTGTGATGAGACTGTTATCGAAAAAGATTCATTAGATGTGGTTGAAACAATCAAAGAAGACGTGAAGAAATCTCAGGATCAGATAAAAACTCTCATTGAAGTAGCAGGAGAGACTCAAGTATTCGAACAGTACAAAACAGTTGTATCTGTAGACACAACCAGAGATAGTCAAGAAAACACTGAAAATATACATTGTAACCATACAAATAAAGTATTCAAAACACACAGCCACAATTACCTGAAAGAGTTCTTGGAAACACAAAAAGGGTCAAAGAAACCCCTGCAAAACTTTATCGCTAAGAAATTCACGAACTTGTCTCGCAAAACAACGCGAGATAACACGAATTTACAGGATAACAAATTCCATTCCCTGCCGGATATAACTGCCAGTAAAAACTTGAGGAAATGCGAGAAAATTGACAGGAAACTGCGTAAATGCGGAAAAAGTAACTCGTCAAAGAACGAAAATAGATTTATCGTGAATATCGGAAGACATTTTGATGTCACTGGTGATGGTATGGTGCCTATAGACTTCGAAGTCAAGATAGCAAAAGTTCCTAAACAAAAGAAAAACGCCAATAGAACTAACACTGACGAACATTTCATAGAAGCAGTTAAAAACCTCAAAGAAACCATACACGGTAGTCAAATAAGTTTGGACCAAAAACCAATAAATTCCGAAGACAAAAGAGGCGAAATGGCTTTACTCTATTGTCAAGACGAATGCACAAAAGAACTGAACGACAAGCTCGGTACCATGAAAAAGTATTGGAAGAAAATGATAGGTGATGAAAATGAACAGTGCAGGCACCAAGAAAACCGAGAAGAAAACGGCAGCTGTAAAATAGTAGAAGTGACAACGAAAGTCGAGGATGTCAAGAAAAAATTTGAACATCAAGCGGATAAAGTGGAAGAAAAACCACAAAGCAAAGTGCAACTCACCAAACAGTTATTCGAACCAAAACTTGTGATTGAGAAGACGGGAAAGATTTCCCCAACCATCAGAGAAACTTGCAGCTACTTCGAGAACAACACGTGTTACGAAACCGATAGATCATTCGAGAGCCTATGTCCAACATCTGTAGAAATCATAGACGCGAAAAACAACGAAAATGAACCGAAAAAAGACAACAAAAAACGCAAAGCTCACAAACCTGTGTCGAAATCCAACAGCGTATCTGTCCAACCAGAATTCGACCACGTACGATACAAACTAGTGAAATCTGACCTTTTCCAGAAGAAGATATTCGCGAATTGTGAAAAAGAATCTCAGTTCGAAGACCTAATCCAGTACCTCCAAGACTATAGTTTCCAAGAGCTTCTGATCGATAACAACATTGTTATTATCGAACCCATACGATCCAAGGTGCCCTACAAAGCTTCCCCTTGCGTCAAGTCAATGAAGAATGTCACACCATTGGTGCACAAACAGGACAGCGATAGTGCAGACAACAAATCCACACTGAATCGGCCGTTCTTTTACCACCCCATCAGGGTGAACAAAGAAGTGAATGAAGACGAGCTTCCTAATCCAGATACAGTGAGACAAGTACGGCAGTTTTTCGAAGGGGGTTCTAAGAACAAGCAAACCAACCAGGAATCGGATGCTCCAAAGGAAAACTATAAAGAAACCACCACAACCAATATAGATCCCGATAAAGATAGATGCTCAGCAGCATCGGATTCTAACTCACATCTATCAAACATATCGGATTTGGGCAGCCAAGAGAACTTGTATGATTCCTTAGACAACGAAATATATTGTGAGTATGTGAGTGAGGCGATAATGGAGAAAATCAGGGAATATGGTACCACTGTCACGTACTATGGAGGAAGAGTGGTGGATCAAAAATCAGGTCAGCCAGTACTGACCAAAGCTATAATGGAAGAGATCAGAGACAACGAAAAGAGGTGCATGGACTGTAGCAATTGCAGAAAGATGAGTAATGGTAGTGTAGACATAGAAGAGAAAGATAATAAAAATAATTTGAAGGGCATGAAATTTAGGCTCTTGAAATCGAACAGTTGTAGCAGCCGTCTGGAGCTAGTTGGCACCGATTCGTCGCAAGAAACAAAGAAAAAACTGCTGACCCAGCAAAGGAGAATCATTGCACAGAACAATCTGAGGAAGAAAGATAATGTGATTGAAGAGTGTGGAAAGAAGATGGACCAAAACGACAGGTTCAACGAGAAAAACGCTATCAATGAGAACATAAAGAAGCAATCAATGAACAATAATTCTCCTAAAATTATTGGGGAGGAAATGAAAATAGCAGATAACAAGACACAGTGGAATGACGCGAAGAATGAAAAATCTGATAGAACAATCACCGAGAAGAGTCCTACTCAAACAATTCATGATTTTTATCAATATGACAAAGTCAAACATATTACAAAAAAGATGGATGATATGGAATTTGAACCATACGAAGTAGCTTAGCAATATTTAGTGAAATTGATGGAACATGTGATTATTTTATGATTTAGAAAATTGTATGATAATGTAAAAACTGGTTGAGGGTTAGGTGATTCAATTCGAAAGGTTAATTTATTTAATTTACGTGGTGTTCAGTTCAATAAATCTGTATATGTTAATTAGTAACTTCACATTTTTTTAGTTAAAAATGTTCGAACGTCGATTACTACAATGGAATGTCTATGTGATATGAAAATAAATAGTCTGCATTGCCAGTAGAATAATAAGCAAGAATTTATTTATCTATCAACTTGGCTAATGATCTAAGGGGATCACGAAAAAATAATTTATTTCTTTCCTCTGACAGGAAAACATTTTAGAAATAATCTTGGCAGAGATCATGCACTAACAGAATAAACTTGACCGTAAAAAAATAAACAAAAGATGTGTTGGAATTGGCACATTTCAACTTTGAAAATTGGAATTGAAAAACGAAATAATTCATCCACTGAAAGTTCCTGGAAAAAGTTTCGAATGTAATGTCGTTGCGAACTATGGCACTCATGAATTTTGATTTGATGTAGGTAGGTACCTACCAGGTTTCATTCATAAGAAAGTTTTCCGATATTTCTCCTCAATATATAACTCAAACTTCACCAATAATATAATTAGTATAAGGGGTTTACTAATCGTCCAAACTCTTTCTTGGAAGCTATTCATTTGAAGACCAACAGAAAGTTAACATGCTCGAAGTGAAGTTCAGAGTTTCGAGAAAAAAAGTTGCAATGATTCGAGAAAATGGAGATCAATACTTTGGCGAGATGCGAGAATAAACGCATAAGATAACGTATCACAGTTCATAGACATAGGTAATATATCTAAAGTTTTCCTGTGTATATAGTTTGCCAGCTACAATCTGTCTGATTCCCTATACAGCATCATTAATTCACAGCTAGACATCTGCGTGAATAATATATGTTAGGTTAGGTAGAAGATTCAACTGAATATATCACATAGTTCAAGTTGTTCATCTTCAAAAATGATTGTTTGAATCCACAAACATCTCATGATTTCAACAAAACAAAATGTATTCAATATAACTCATTGTTTATGCATCTCAAAACCAGTCTCAACAGATATAATCAGTTGAATGAACAAAGAATATTTTGCTCCTATACAATATCTACTCTAATGAATACATGTTCTTGATTAACCCATTTACGACCGGATTATATAGAAAACAGCAATTTGACAAGTATATTCTGAATATTTATTCTTTATGCAACACCCGAAAGAATCTTTCATTATCAAAAATTCATTATTATTATCAAAAATGGCATATTTATGACATGTTGCGTATACGCAACATTGGCTGGAACTGGTAGTTTCATTTTTTAATTAAATTAACTATTTTATTCTGGATAAGAATCTTTGTGTAGAAGTACATTTATCACATTATAGTCCAATCAAGATGTACATCCGTGCTTGCAAAAGGTCCGGTCATTCTGAATTTTTTATATGTTCTTAGGACCTAAACCAGTATTGAAAAACCAGATTTGCAATTTCCAAAGTGCTGTGCGAGCGACGGTATACTCAAAAAACTATGAAATTTTTTGACTCATTTCAGTTTTCGCTCAATATCTCAGAGAAGAAAGGGTTGGACCGCTATAGTCATCCTATAAACTTTCAAAGATAACTAAATTTGCTACAATTCGAGGCCAAAACGACCTCCATACAGCTTTTGGTTCCCAAGATACAGTTCTTCGAAAATCGTCAACTTTTTCGAAAAAGTGGAATTTCTTCAAAATGATCACCTATTCTGTTAATTATCTTCTAAAATACGCTTCCCACGTCAAATATGTGGAATGAAGTCGTAGTAAATTTTATTAGCTTTCATTTGAGACTAGACTGGTATCAGGCCTAGTGGTACTCTCAAAAACGGCTGATAACCAAAAACAGTCTACCTTCAGAAGAGTCCCTAGATGTATAATGTACTATTGTTCACATTTTCATTATCAAATTCGTGTTTTTCAGAGAAAAATACCTAACTAAGTACAAAATGAAATTTCTAAAAAAAATACATCGCATGATAAGTGCAATTTTACCAAGTATAGTATCATAAGCATATTACGAATATCATAATTCCAACAATGCTCGGCAATGAAAAAAATACCATACTGTCACATCTCATGTCACATACTGTAGATAAGGCTGAGTCAAAACCCGATAAACTTTCTTTTTGGGATATCCACGCGCGTTTACATACTTCTGATAAGAAAACATGATACATAGTCGTAAAACACGTTGAGTCAATACCAACCACTCCTATAAAATTTTCAAAGAAGGTGAGTATATCATCATAAATATAAATGACAAATGAATGAACTGGTGAAATATTAGTGAGCAAAACCTAATACAATAAGGAAAGTTTGTTTGAATAACGATAACAATATTAGCAAAACAAACAAAATTATTCATTGCACTGTTTGAAATGTAGTACGCGGTAAGTACTCTGGTAAATATTTGTACTATTCTTCCATGAACTTGATAGAACATCTCTAAATATTGAATAAAGATGAGTGAACCTTGTGTTTTTTCAAATGCCACAGTTTACACTGGCTGGATTTAACAATAATAAAATTGTTAAATGCAGTGTCTTTCCATTGATTTGATTCAAATCCAATAACAAGTGTTATAAACGTCCTTTTAGTAACGAGTATTTTAAGCACGAGCGGAGCAGAGCGGAGCGAGTGTTCAATAAACGAGTGTCTAGAAGAGTTTATAAACGCGTTACATACTATGCTTTTCCTACGAACTCCGAAAATTACATTAACATACCTGCTATTCCTGCTTACCTACAAAATTATTCCAAAGGAATGGGAATTGAGAACATAATAAATGCAACTGCATGCAACCAGCGAGACACGTATAAGTGATATTGGTTGTAGATGTGTCCAGTCCATGACTAACCTTTGTTTCACGTTTATTGTCATGCTTAGCGCAGAATAAATAAATTGTTCTCAAAGATGGATGCTTCATTTTTACACTTCTTGGAGATATGCAAGTACCAGGACATTCTCTTCGATTTCACTTTCGTCTACATTTCGCATATATTTTTGACGAACAATTCTGATACAAACGAAAATTGTTTGAATAATTCTTGTACAAAATTCGAAAATAGCAGTTGACAGTTAATACAATTGACAGGCTAGACATGTCTCAAATTACTGAAGCTGTGTTTAATGAACTGTGTTGCCATGGTAACGTGTTTAATATTTCGAAAAATCACAGATCGTTAATCCGTGATTAACCGATCATTTAGCGTGGTAGGTACATATCCGTACGCTAAATGCCATTTTAGTTATGTGAGTAGAAAAATACATTATTCGAGAATTCAACGTATAATGTTTCAATATAAATTCGTGAATCGAATTACAATCACTTAGTAACAATGATTGTAATTTGTGTCTGGAATTGCGTCACTCTTCACAACACTTCAGCGCGAAACTTTTCCGCTGATAACGTAATGATTGAAAAATGGCACTTTCCTGTGCGATAATTTTTAGGCAATTTCGCGATTTGATAACGAGATAAGAATAATTATGCCATCCTTAATCTGAGTCAAATCCACTGCACAGCGATTTATATGCTGCCCATATTACGGACATACTTCCGGCGCATATTGTGATAACGAATTGAAACAAAAAGCGAATGAGAGGAGATAAAATCAATCCAAAGGTGCGGCGATTCAAACTGATCTAAGTAAGTGGCAGAGCACCAATATTTCCGAGAATATTTCGCCCCTTTTGAAAGATTATATCCGATGGACCAGTGTTAAACTCATGTGGTGCTCGCACTACGTAATCAAATCCACATGTTGAGATTTACACTGGTCCATCGGATATTATCTTTTCAGAAGGACAAAATATTCTCTTGTTTGTTTCTTGCTTGAATCGCGGCACGTTTGTATATTCGTAAGGGGGAAATTATACATTTTAATTTGAATTTTTCAAGTCGTTATCACCTGACGAAAGTATGTCCGGAATACTGACAGGAAATAAAACGGTGTTCCGTGCGGATTTGACCCAGATTAAGGGGTGGCTTAATTAGGTTTTTGAGATCTACCATTCAATTGGTATCGGATAGCATAACATATCAAATCGCGAAATTGAGTGCAAATTACAGCACAGGAATGTGCCATTTTTCGATCATTTTGCTCAGGATAGAGCCATTGGCATCATAGGTGCCGTTAATCCGATAATGACTTTGGGTTATATTATTACATATAACATTTAATTAATATTGCTTCCTTTCGATGTTTTTTCAAACAAATGTACCACTATTGAAAAGCAATATTCTCAGATATAATTATGAACATATAGGTCCTTAAATGCTTCGTTTTTAAGATACAGGGCGTTAAAGTTGGAAGTATTGATTGTTCTTTTTCATGATTACCCTGTATGAGCTCGAAATTCCAGAATAATATACTCATTGGACACTGGACAACAACATTTTGAGAAATTAATTAAAAAAATGATTTTTCATTGAAAATTTGACACTCTGTATCTTGAAAACAAAGCATTTCTGGACCTATGTTTATTTGAAGTTTTCCTCTTAGAATCACTCAAATAATCACCCCTTGAAGTTTGGCCACATACTCGAATAACATCTTTTATATAAAGAAATACATTGAGAATTCGCATTCTCTATGTGATGAAAATATCAATCCTTTCTCGGTTCATTCAACAAAAAACCACTTCTTTCCTGGCTATATGCCACGACGAACATTGAATTGTATCTATTGAACAAACACGATAAGAATTTGAAAACAAAATATTCTGAAGTAGAGAATTTGCATTCTCCTTCATATAAAGATATGGACATAATATCATTCTGAATATTCAACAGAAAACAACTACTGTATGATGAATATCAATTTATCATACATACAAAAACAAATGTATTGCTACTACATAATATGTCAACATCCCAATCAGGAGTCATTTCACCGGAAATGGAATATTGAAATTGAAAACCCTATTATTCTTCATTATTTGATTCAGGTGATATTTTTGTGTCAAAATTTCAAGTGGCAGATTTTAAAATGATTTTTTAAGTAGTTTCAATAGGCTGCTGTGACTGGTCATGCATAAATTTCTCCTTCTCAGGAGAAATAATAATGAGTAACTAAAATATGACATGTTATGCACATGGCATATCAATATAGTCCGGATCACTTTGGACGAAATTCCGGGTGACAAAAGAGCGAAATGACATCAGCAAATAC